ATTATACCGCCCCTTTCCTATTTTTTAATATAAATATAGAACAATTACTCTATGATCCTCTTTATATGAAGAAAGACATTTTCCTCCTCCCTTACTTTCCTGAATAGGTAAGTAGGCATAGTGATTGAAAAGAGGCAAGACTCAGATTGCTTTAGACTAGCTGCCTCTTGTTGGTTGTGTCATTGCTGGAAAGATGGAGCCATGCTCAAGATTTTCACCTCCATATCCAATGCAGGATGAATCCCTTCCAAAATAATTGGGGCATACTAATTATTGGCCCCATATCTTGCTCAAATGGGCATTGTAGCAGCCGCAGCCTATATAGTAGAAAGAAAAAGGGCAGGTGAGCCATTCTGGACCGGAGAAATTTCCTTCTGCCACACCCCATTTTGGTCCCTAGCATGGCACATGTATAGGACAAGGTTGAGGTTAGTGGGGATGTGGCATGGGTTATCTGTTGTAATCATGGTTGTTTGGGCATGGAAACATTATCTGTCTGTCTGTACAAACACAGTCACCACTGGCTCAAAAATAAGTGCTGGTATTCTCTGAAAGCAAAAAGTCATAGCTACAGGGCACATTTCCCCTATGATGGAAAAAGTAATAATTTTCCATGCTGGCTTTTCACAGAGTTATAAACAATAGGCTTGGGCATTTAGAGGTAATAATATAAGAGTACTGGATCACCCGGATATGCTCACTGAGTGACTGTGATAAGACACAAGCTGATGTTTTTCAAAGCCATGTCTGATCAGTTTTCATGATGATGGCTTTCCCAACCTAAGCTTCAAGTGTCAATCCAATAGTGATGTAATACTGTCCTGACACATTTTACAGTACCTGACAAGAAAAGACCAGTAATCTTCCTGTGCCTCTTTTACAGAGAGCCAACGTTTAGTTCTGCTCACGGTCTAACACAATGCTAAGACGTATCTCTGTTGGGCAATTGCTATGGTCAAGACATGGTCACTGATCTAATTTTTAAGTTAGTAAGTGTAAACATGGCTTTCAAGTAATTTATTTTAAAACCAGGACCACTCAACAGTATGTGTATTTAAAAGTTCTTTAAATGTCTCTTCTTAAATGCCACTTCTTATCCACCCTTTGCTTCATCAGATACACATATCTTAGAAAGTTGCAGTTGAATCTTAGTGTCTGCTGCATGAATATAATTCAAATATAATCCGATATTCATTTTGCATAATGTGGGTGAATGATATGTACCTGACAGATCTGTTACGTGTGATGCAGATGTCACTGGTTTTCTAATTCTCCCAAAAATTGCATATCTTTCAGAACTGACAATGATCCTATATATAGTACAGTGGTCCCGAACCTTGGGCCTCCAGATGTTCTTGGACTACAACTCCCAGAAGCCTTTACCACAACCTCTGCTGGCCAGGAATTTTCTGGGCGTTGACGTCCAAGAACATCTGGAGGCCACGTTTGGGGACCACTGCTGTAGTATATATATGTAAATATATTGAGCAAGAATTCATACATATTTTGGAATTATAATTTTAAGATTACAAACTACAGCAAAAGCTGTATTCAGCACTGTAAATTACAGAAGTAAGCTACATGAAGGAACAAAGTTCTCTTGCTCTAAATTATTTTGTAGTAAAGAACTGGTGAATTCAAATGGAACACAAAATATCACAGAAAACAATAAGGAACTATTTTTTGATTCTGTCCTTTTCTTTTTCCCAACCTCATCATAAAACTCCATCATTTCATTGTACAGTTCCTATGATTGATATGATCGCAGTGCTGTCATTTTTAACAAAAAGTCACTTTTGTTCTAGGTATTTTAATAGATTCCCATTAAACATGTATTGCTGACTGAAATATTGGCATGAAGGGCTCTCACTGGGCTGAGACCAGGAATTAAGAAGTCAGGAAATCAGCTGCTGTATTGCAAAAGAGCCTTGTGTGACACAGGATCTCCTGATTGGGGGGATCATTACTGCTATTATGACTCTACTTGCGTAGGACTTTTGAATTTCATCTGAATGTCAGTAATAACCCTCTTAGCAAATTATCCTGAATAAAATCACAAAGGCATTTTATATAATAGGTGTTGAATTACTGGATAGATTTGCTAATTAAATACTCTTTGTTCTGCTGCAGTTGACATTACAGGGTAAGATCTTGAACAATTATTCTCAACAGCTGTACTTTGTTAAGGGAAAAATTAACTGCAAAATTTATTTTTTTATGCTTGAAGTTGGCAGATTTTTGAAATGTGCTTGAAAAAAATTTCATCATCCAGTTGGTAATGAGAGGATAAATATGCAGGTGTTTCTGTGAAATGTAACTGCCAACTGATTTATAAATGAAATTTAGCAAGACTTGATAACTTGTTCCCTCACACTGGCACTTACAAGTAATTCTTCATAAGGATAGGTAATACTAATATTATGCTTGTTACTGGAAGAATGTTACTTGTCTTGTGACCCTCTTATAAATACCTTTGCTTGCTACTACCCTTATGAACAGTAAAAATATTTGTAGAGAATCATTACTTACTTTAAAGGGATTGATGCTATCAGGAATATTTTGCTAGTTACTTCATTTCTAGTTTCAGGTGACTAGCCGTTAAAATATAGTTAAGAAATCTTTTGGCATAAACCCTTATATAATCTTTTTATATTCATATGATATTTTACACTTTTAAAAATTCTGAACAGCATAAACTGTCCCCCATGCTTTCTTTGTGTGGAGATTGGGTATAGGAAAAAGGGTGATGTATGAGGCAGCATGGTTCTGACTGGCTTTGTTAACGACAGAAATTTTAGATTTGAGTAGCTTTTTTTATATCACAAACATTGTGACAACACTGGATATTATTTTCCTCTGAGACAACATTTATTGATCAGCAGCCTGTTTTCCAGGCGAAGGATTTGTCTTTTCTTTTTGTTCTAAGCAGGAAGGCATATCTACCAGTGCTAATAATCACTCTCCTGTTTTTCTAGTTGCACAGTTCTAGAAAATTGTAACTACTGTTATGATTGCTGGGTATTTGGCAGTGCTGCTGCCTACCTCTGTTGGCTTCTAGGAAAGTATCAATAAATAATATGACATCACCTGAAGACCTTCCTATCCTGATGAGTATACCAGGATATAGACTCCGTAGTGATCAAACCAAGAGATATAGTCAGTGAACTATAGGGAGGTCTACAGAAGAGGTGGGAATATAAGTGTGCTGAAATGAGTGGTATTTGTGCTTTATTATACAGAAACATTTTGGAGTAGGGTCTTTGAGTTGTTTTTTCATCAACTACTGCAGCATACACTGATCAGTCATACCATTAAAATCACCTGCCGTATATCGTGTGGGTCACCCTTGTGCTGCCAAAACAGCACTCGAGGCATGGTCCTCTACAAGGCCTCTAACATGTCCTGTGACATCTAGCACCAAGACATTAGCAGTAGATCCATTAAGTCCTGCAAGTTGAAAGGTGGGCCTCCATACATTGGATTTGGTGTTCCAGCACATCCCATAGATGCTCAATTGGATTGAGATCTGGGGAATTTGGAGGCCAGAGCAACACCTTGAACTCTTTGTCATGTTCCTCAAACCATTCCTGAACAATTTTTGCAATGTGAAAGAGGCCATTGCCATGAGGGAACATCATTGCCATGAAGTGGTGTACGTAGTCTGCAACAATCTCTAGGCAGGTGGTATGTGTCAAAGTAACATCCACATGAATGCCAGGAACAAAGATTTCCCAGCAGAACATTGCCCAGAACATAACACTGCCTCCATCTGTCTTCTTCTTATAGTTTATCCTGCTGCCATCTCTTCCTTAGATAAATGACGTACACGCACCAAGCCATCCACCTGATCTAAAAGAAAACATGTTTAATCAGTCCAGATTATCCTCCTCCATTGTTCCATGATCCAGTTCTGATGCTTATGTCCCCATTGTAGGTGCTTTTGGCTGTGGACAGGGGTCATTATGGGTACTCTGACCTGTCTGTGACTATGCGGCCCCAGACACAGTAAATGGCGATGCACTGTGTATTCTGATACTTTTCTATCATGGCCAGCATTAGGTTTTTCAGTAATTTGAGGTATAGTCACTCTTCTGTGGGATCAGACCAGATGGGCTAGCCTTTGGCACTCGCAGCCCTGATGCCACTTCACTGCTTGTTCTTCCTTACATTAGTTTTGGTAGGTACTAACCACTGCATATCAGGAACACCCCACAAGACTTGCTGTTCTGGAGATGCTCTGACCCAATCATCTAACCATCACTATTTGTTCCGTGTCAGAGTCACTCAGATTTTTTTCATTTGTCAGTTTCCTGCTTCCAGCACATGAAATTCAAAAACTGACTGTTCATTTGCTGCCTATTATACCCTACCCCATGACAGGTACCATTGTAACAAATCAATACTATTCACTTCACCTGTCAGTGGTTTTAATGTTGTGGCAGATTAGTGTATCTTTTCCTTTGTTGCCATGCAGGGAAGAGAGCTTTCATTTTCATGGAAGAAGTTCCTGCTACAACATCTCCTCTTGCCAGTAGAGCTTTGGTTTCTTGGAACCCTCATGAGTCACCCTAGGCAGATAGGGATATACATTTATGCATATTTGGATGAATCTTAGCAAGCTAAGCCCCAAAAAGTCATGGGTTTTCTCCTAACAAAACAGCTCCATTAGTCTAATAAGCAATAATTTAAACACAGATGTAGTGTTTATTCAATTGTTTTTGGCTTATATGTTGGTGCTTAGATTTGCAGTCTCTGTATGTGTGATTCTCATTAAATATTACAGAAGGTGGCTTGATTTAAAGAATGGTGTGTTACTGAAAAATATTTTAAAATAAATGGCACAGTATTATAACCCTGTTGCCCTGGAGAAGTGTGCATTCCTAGATGTCTTGGCTTGTTTTGTAAACCAACAAATCTAAAGTTTATTTCCTGATTGATATGTTTTGTGTATAGCAACTTTATAATGAGATTTCATTAGACTCAATTTCTTTTTCTTCCAGATCTTGATGCATACTAAGGAGATGGTAGAGAAGGTATGAACAAGTATTTTCATTATAGTGCCATCCCTGGATGGCATATTACATTTCTTTAAAAAACGATCTAGGAAAGGAGTATTGTTACCACTTCTGAAGATGCGTGGTTTACAAATGTAATGCTTGTTAATGAAATATAACTCTTCCCATTTTGGAAAAGTAGATGTGACGTAACCCCTGCTTGGATGCTTTGTTTCAGTATTACAAGCAGGTCCCTTGTATCTAACATCCTATATCATTCTGCAGACTTGGAATTTTATAGTTCTTTTCTGTGGCTTTCCACTTGATTACCCCATGTTAATGGTATAAAAATATTAATAACAATTTCTCCATGTTGAGGTGGTTCACATGTAATACCATACTGTACTTTGATAGGATGAAACAGAGCCACATACTTGTTTGTGTATTCTTTCTTTTATAGATTCTTATTAATTGGTTTATAGTTTGCCCTTTGAATGGGGTAGCAGAAGTATGCAATTGTCCTGCAAGATTATTTAGAGGGACAGGATGAACCACAATTTGTGATTGTTTTATCCTCCCACCCCACCCCACCCCAATTTTTATTTAGGGCCTAGGTATGAACTTGTATGTGAATTGTGCCATGCATAAGGGCAGATATTTAGAGTACAAAGCCCCTCACTCTGTGGCTATGTAGGTTACCTATTTTCCATGCTTTTTATAAAAGATGCTTATTCAGATTTTTAGAAAGACGGTCTGGTTTTTACTTTCCAAACATTGTAACGTGTGCGATTTCTCACCCTACTTCCACCTCTTTTTAGATGAATCTGGAAGTAATTTATGGTGATACAGACTCCATTATGATAAACACAAACATTACCAATCTGGAAGAAGTCTTTAAACTTGGGAACAAGGTAAAGGAATTTTAATTTTTCTTGTAGCTTTGGTACAGTTACTTTTTTTTATTTCCACTGTGCCTTGTTTAAGTAATAGGAACCTTGTGAGCATCTGTGAGTGCTATACATGGTAGTCACTGAATACTGAGGAACATCTTCTTTGAAAATTATTTTGTATTATCTTATATGCCGTTAGGCATCCTTCAGTCTCGAGAGACTATGGTAGCGTCCTCTGTATGGAGGACTTGGAACAGTGTCTAGTGTGGCTGAGAAGGGCAATTTGAGAGTGACAATCCCTTCCACACTGAAGACAAATACAATCTGTCCCCTGTCCAGCTCCCTGACTTTGCTGGTTTCGGGACTGCCTCTTTGCCTCGGCCTGCTGGACAAGGGTTTCTTCAAATTGGGAGAGGCCGTGATGCACCACCTGCCTCCAGGCTGAACACTCAGATGTCAAGGTTTCCCATCTGTTGAGGTCCATTCCTAAGGCCTTCAGATCCCGCTTGCAGATATCCTTGTATCGCAGCTGTGTTTTTCCTCTGGAGCGATTTCCCTGCACTAATTCTCCATATAGGAGATCTTTTTGAATCTGACCATCGGCCATTCTCACGACATGCCCAAGCCAATGTAGATGACGCTGTTTCAGTAATGTATACATGCTGACAATTCCAGCTCGTTCTAGGGCTACTCTATTTGGAACTTTGTCAGGTGATACCAAAAATGCATCGGAGACAATGCATATGGAATGTGTTCAGCTTCCTCTCCTGCTGTGCACAAAGGGTCCAGGACTCACTGCAGTACAGGAGTGTACTCAGGACACAAGCTCTATAGACCTGGATCTTGGTATATGCCATCAGCTTCTTATTGAGTCATACTCTCTTTGTGAGTCTTGAGAACATGGTAGCTGCTTTGCCAATGCATTTATTCAGCTCGACATCTAGGGAGAGAGTGTCAATTGATGAGCCAAGGTACATAAAGTCATGAACAACCTCCAATTCTTGCATGGAAATGGTGATAGAGGGAGGTGAGTCCATGCCCTGGCCCATGACTTGTGTTTTCTTCAGGCTGATAGTTAGTCCAAAGTCTTGGCAGGCTTGCTAAGACGATTCATGAATTGTTAGAGGTCTTCAGCAGAGCGGGCAACAATGGCTGCATCATCGGCAAAGAGGGAAGTCCTGCATGCATTTTCAGCTGGATTTCGGTCTTTGCTCTCAATCTAGAGAGATTAAAGAGCTTTCCATCTGATCTAGTCCGGAGATAGACACCTTCTGTTGCAGTCCAAAGGTGTGCTTCAGTATGACAGCAAAAAAGATCCCAAACTGGGTCAGAGTGAGGACCCAGCCCTGTTTCACTCCGCTTCGAATTTCAAAGGGATCTGATATTGAGTCATCAAAAACTACAATGCCCTTCATTTCCTCATGAAAACACCTGATGATATTAAGGAGTCGAAGTGGACATCCAATCTTGGGAAATATTTTAAAAAGGCCATCCCTGCTAACCAAATCAAAGGCCTTTGTGAGGTCTGTGAAGGCCACAAAGAGTGGCTGTCGTTGTTCCCTACATTTTTCCTGCAACGGTCTGAGGGAGAATAGCATGTCAGTGGTGGATCTGTTATAGCTCAAAATCTAAACTGTTATTCTGGATTGACTCTGTCTGCAAGCACCTGGAGTCTCTTCAGTACAACATGGGCAAGCAGCTTCCCTAAAACGCTGAGAAGAGAGATGCCATGGTAGCTATTGCAGTCACCCCTGTCTCCTTTGTTCTTATACAATGTGACAGTGTTTGCATCCTTCATGTCTTGTGGTACTCCACCTTCCCTCTAGCAAAGGCGAAAAACTTCATAGAGTTTGGTGGTGATGATCTTTTTACAGCACTTCAGCACTTCAACAGGGATGTTATCCTTCCCAGGTGCCTTGCTGAGAATCCAAGGCTGCTGTTATTTCTGCTAAAGTTGGTTCGCTGTCCAACTCTTCCAAGACAGGCAGACACTCGACGTTATTTAATGCCTCTTCGGTTACTACATTCTCTCTGGAATATAGCTCAGAGTAGTGCTGCACCCAGCGTTCCATCTGCTGTGCTCGGTCCTGGATGATCATGCCTGAAGTAGACTTCAAAGGAGCAGATTTCTTCTGTATTGGACCTAAAACCTGCTTGATCTTATATGCCAGTGTTTATCAAACTGCCACGCCTTCTCTGTGACTAATGTTTTTGTCCCTCCTTTATCTCTAAAAAGATCATAGATTTTACTACAGAGTGTGTGAAATACAGCCTTTTATCACTTTCCACAAGGATATCTTCATTAACCTGTGCTTTGCAAAAAACAAGACATATTTGTCATATACTGTATCAGATATACATTTTCTGTGGGAAATTGTGGTATGTTATTTCTAGGCAGAAAAGCAATTTAGATGGCACTTGCAACTAGAAGCCCTACTTCTCTTACTCATTTCTGAACTTCATCAGAACTGCGTATTGACTCTTCAGAATATTCAATGTGTGAACGTATTTTGCGTGTATTCCTAACTTCTTATGATGTTTAAATAGTATAATGTGGTCTGGAAGCCTCTAGACAGGAACAAGAGAGAGGGCTTGAAGACAATGTCTTGCTCTTCCCTCAGCTAAGCCTTTTTGCCCAACCATCTTACAACAGCATAGATCCAAGAACATCTTTGGTCCTCCGATGTTCTTGGACTAAAGTTCCCAGAAACCTTCACCATTAGCTGTGCTGCACATGGTTTTTGGGAGCTGCAGTCCAATAACATCTGGGGAATCTAAGGTTGGGAGCCACTGGCATAGTTTCGTCCAGCTGCATGGGGTTATTTGTATTCGTATACAAATACCCCCAACTCTAATGACAAACTAAGACAATTCTGGCAACATTTTTGCACTTATCATGGCTGAGCTTTCTTGACAGGACCTGCAATGAGGCTTTTACATATATGTTTTCAAAATCAAAGGATAATGGTTGCTCCAGTTTGTCCAACTAGTGATCTAGGCTGTCACTCAGTGTTACATAGTTCTTTTACCTTGTCTTGCTTCCTTCTTAGGGCGAAAAGCCAATTGTGCTCCAGAATCCAATTCCTCACTATAATTTGCAGATACTTCAATTCATAGCGTGGAGGCTATCTGAGTGTGGTTCAAATGATACAAGGTCTTTGTTCATCGCCTTGGTAGCTATCAGGATGAAAGGCAGCTCAAAATACATTTATTAAATGCAGTACTTTAAAATGTTATTCATATTCCTGGCATCCATATTAAGCCATTTGGCAAATATGAAGTGGTATACCAAGGAGTACATAGTTCTGGGTAGGAAATATATGAAATTACTGCTGTTCTGTATGTATGACCAGACTATGTTTAGCATGAACAACTTGGAATACCAGGTGACCCATCTTAAAAGCATTCTGAGATATAAGAGGGAAACAATGCTCTTTGATTGAGATCTGGCAGATGTCTATTTGGGTACATGTGGCTATATCCACTCATGGAAAAGGCTTCAGGAGTTAACCTAGAGGCAAAATCCGGAGCTGGAGTCCTGAAGGCAGTTCATGTCATTCTGCCAACTCCTGCAACTTTGCTGGAACCAGTAGTATTGCCTCTTGCCTTTCCATTGGACCATTTCAGCAATGTGGAGAGGGGGGATTTGCTGCTTGGGTAACAGCCTATCCTCCATATTACTTTACCCAAGCTTCATGCTCTGGAGAGGACACTTCTCGATACAGAGCATGTTACCATAGTCTCTCGAGACTGAAGGATGCCTATGGAGTCATGTTCATCATTGCAAGTTCCCTGGCAGATGGGCGATATAGTTGAGGGAGGAAACCTATTCCTTCAGAACATCCATTGTTTCTAGGACACACTGCCTTGTTGGATTCATGTTGCATAATTGTTTATAAAACAGTGTCCCCTTGAGATAAGTAAAATATTCAAAAATATAAAAATCATTAAAATATAGGGAAAAAAAGCTAGAGAAAATTTTAAAACAAAAAACAATATATCTCTCTCACACACACCCACCCACCCACCGACCCACACCCACACACCCACACCCACACACACACACACACACACACCGCTTTAGGTGTCGTGTGCAGAAAAACCACTAATAAGTTATTTTTATAATTTATAAAATGTGATGGGCCCTTTGCAGATGTCTAGAGTAATGGAAAACCCTAACTTTCATGTACACCTCCCCAAGCATTTGTGTAGTTCCCCAGAATCTCGCTGAGAAGTATTAGGAGAGCAACAGAGAGTTTGGAAGTAAGAAATAGAACTAATATGGAACTCCAGGTGAACACAACCAGTCAGCAATACAGGGAGACAACGTGCCCATATCCCTAGGGCAACAATTCACTCAGCCCTGCCTATGTGCAACAAAAAAGGGTGCCTTCCAGATGCCACTGAAGAATAGAAGGTGCTCTCAGCTTGGAAAAGATTAAAAAGGTGCAGCTTTAACAGTTGGTTATTTGCCACCCAAATAAATGTTCTCTCCCAAGCTACAATCACAGCTGTATTTGTAGGTTTAAAAAAATCCTCTGTGTCCCAAGGCTTCAGTCATAAATTATGTTTAGAAATAAAAAATTAAGGTTATTGAGGCAGCTGCTAATTTAACTGTGTCAAGAGAGGCATCAGCAATGAATAATGCTCCCACAGAAACCTTAATGAGCTGAGAGCCTGTTTCACAATTATCTTGGATCTCTTCATTCTTTCTGCTAGAAATCTAAATGTCTCAAAGAAAACAGGAATTGGCTGTCGTTGCTTTAGACTGGGGTGGGCAAAGTGTGACCTTCAGAGTGCCTGCATACCTCCAGGATTCCAAGTATTGTCCCCATGAATATTCTCCATCCCCACTTCATTTTGGAAATACATTTTGGAGCTATGAAAATGACAAATTCTCAGGGCGGTGTCATGGGGAATGGCCATTTTAGACCATTGCTGCCCTGATCTGTTTTATGCCCAAGAAAAGGTTTTTTCAAAATGTAAAGTTTTGGCTATTATAGCTTTCCCATCCACACCTGAGATGTGGAGTTGGGGCTGGGAGCATCCACATATAATGGGTTTGAGTGTCCCAGATGAGCTGATGGTGGCCCTTCAAATTCCTTGTTGCAATGATGGGAGGAAGATGCTGAGTTGCTAGCTGGATATGAAAGTTTGCCTCCCAGAGATCTTTCCTGCTCTTTTATAGAAGAACTCTCCTGTTGATAAGGAGAGCACAGTCTCTGGATGGGTGTAGATTGACCAATAAGAGTTCCATGTCTGTAATCTCAGGCTCCATGCAAGCACATCATGATATTTTTCATAAAGGCGTGTAAATCTACTAATTTGCCCCTAATCTGTTCATAAACTGGTAGCTATTGTATTTCTTCCTAGTGGCATTATGAAGCTCTTAAAAGTACTGATCTTGTGTACCCCCATGTTGGCCTTCACAGTGGATGCTCCCATAGAGGGCAAACCTTGTGACAAGAGGTCTTGAGACAGACCTCTTCAAGGATTTCATAGGTGTTCTGGAAGGCCACCACTAACTCAGGATTCATCAGGTCATGACTTGGGTGCATCCATGTTGATCCTGAATCTTTTGGACTGGCTAGTTCAGCCTTTGAAAGTTTGGAGCTTTTCAGACAATAATTGATGGCATGGTGCTTGTGGTAGACAAGAAGATAGTAAAGAAGGGGCATCAATGGCTAAGATTCAGCTCCCGAAACAATTTCCTGTCAAATTGCTAGTCTTCAAATGACTGTTGTCCCAACAGGGACAATTTTTTTTCATTTTATACACATTTGAGCTTAAACTACTTCAGACTAGTAGTTGTGGCAGAAAATGTCTCAATGATTAAGTCCTGGAATTTGTCTGTTATCCTAGGACGGGTATGTTGTTTCCACAATGTCTGAGGGTTATATGAGACTCCAAAACATTCCTCGGCTCAGTCAACACCTTCTGGCAGTTCAAGCTGTAGCCTAGGGCCAAAATCAACCATGCACTATCATTTACTTACTCCACATTTTTCTTTTATGTCAAAGGAAAACATAGATATTAAATCCATCCTGGATCTCAGATGGCTCAACAAGGGTTTTGGTGGGAAATAGTTCCAGTGGAAGACCCCAGAATTTATCATGTCTGCCTATCTGTTTATCCTATTAAGAGGAGAGCATCAGCAGTATGTCCCTTTTTGTTACAATTGTTTGGATGATTGTCAGTAATCCAGTAAATTGTCCACAAAGATCCTGACAGCTCTGCCGGTGCAGCTGAAGAATTTCTGACTTTTCTTCACTCATATATTTCGATGACATTATTATTCATGTGTAGTCAACAGAAAAGAGCCTGTAGAATATTCTAGTTGTATTGAGGTCTGCATATAACTTTAGATCATGAGTGGCAATGAAAGAAGTGAAAATGCAACTTGTGTTGAAGCTATACTGGAAGCTAAGTCTATGCTTTGTTTATTTATAAAAAGTAGACTTTCCGGCCAGCTAGGCTTCCACTGTGGGCTTATAGATTGTACATCTGTCTATTACATTTTCTGGCTTGTGTTTAGTGTGGTGTAATTTGCAAATATTCTGGCTTCCTTGTTAGAACAGAGCTGCAAGAACTATGAATTTCTGCAGGATTTTCTCCACTGGCATTCAGCTCCCCAACTGCTAAGTTTCTAAAGGATTATCGTTCTGAGATTTAGCTCCCTCTGCTGTGCCCTTGTTTTGGCTTTAGCTGATGATTCATAAATTAAATGATCAGCTATATTAATTAAATAAATAGATGGGTAGCACTTACTTTATCCTTGCACCTGTGCTTAATTTGGGGCTGAAGAGCTTGATGACTAGGGATCATCCGTGTGTTCAGTGAGTTAATCAAGTCAAGGGAGAGAAATGCTTCACACAAAGCTCTAGAGACACAGGGATAAAGCCCCCTAGAATACTGCATTCCACTGCATACTCTAGGAATTAGCCCAAGAACCACAGTGGTGTAATTTTAGCAGAGTATCCTTGAGACAGTTGAATATTTGAATTATTGGGAAGAGTTAAGAAAATAGTTGTACTTTTTTCCTGATTTTCAGAGGTAGATGAGACTAAGTCCATATTATATCATTCTAAACCAGGGATAGGGAATCTGTGGCCTTCTGACTGTTGCTCAGCTACTCTCATTGACTCTAGGCAGCATGGCTAGGAGGCATTATTCATTCATTTTGTTCATTTTTATTATTTGTACCCTGCTTTTCTCCCCCAAAAAGGACCCAGGACAGATTACAGTGTAAAACAGACAATATTAAAAGCTAAGAAATACAATACAGTAAATTATTACAATATTAAAAAGCAAATAAACCAATATCCTATTAAGACTAGTACATAAAATGATTGAAAAGAATTTTAAAACCATATATATATAAAAAGAAACAACAGCCCCTTTTAAAATCTCCCATCAGGCAATAACTTTAGGCGGCCAGTTGATGGGGAGAGAAAGTTTGTCTGAAGAGGAAGTTCTTTCCCTGCCGGTGGAAAGATGTCAAAGAGGGGAACAGTTTGTTCTCTTGTAAGAGAAAGTTCCACAGCTTGGGACGTGGGTGGGAGTTATCTAGCTATAGCTGAAATGCCACAGGCTCCAGTACCCCGCTCTAAACTACTGCATGGTTTAATCTAGAAATGGGCTGCAATCAACTTCAGTTGTATTATGAACTTCTTTGTTCCTCCATGTGGGTTAGATAAAGAGTTTGAAAACTTTTGCTTTTGTTTGTTTTTATCTGCACTTTGTAACATTGACAGGAGCAGCAAAACGGTAAATGCTAACTGTGGTTAATTTTAAATTCATGGGGCTTGAAGCTGGGCTCTTGAAACTAGCTCTAGTTATTGCTACTTCTAGGTCATTGTGACTTGGGAAACTGATGATCTAAAACTGGAAGTTTCTGGACCCCTTTTCCTTGGCTTGTATTCCAACGAGGAAGGGGAGGGGAAGCATGCGAGTCTTAGCTTGTGGTGGCTTGTGGACGTGCATCTAAAATCTTGGTTTTAGTATAACATACCAACATGGTCTAACTATACTTGAAGTTCTGTGGTTTGCTTTCCCTATGGAATATACTGACCGTCTCGCTCTTTTTGGAGTGTCATAGCAAGTGATAGATCACATTTATCCCATGATGTCGTGTTTTTATATGCTGTCCAGTTCCAATATACTGCAGTGTATGAAACAGGGACCTCCAGTGCCTCTACCATTAAGAGCCCTGCTTACATTTTGCAAACGCAAGGCCATGGTTTCTTTTATTTAATCAATCTCATATTGTTTTTTCTCTTCCTGCTGCGTTCAATTTTACCTATAATTATTATCATTGTCTCACACCCACACACCCACACCTGATAGTTTCAGTTACCCAAGTGTGATAGTTTTCTTTCTAGAGAGATTTCACACTTGATTTGACCTAGCACCCATGTATTTGTCTTTCTGGCAGTCCACAGTATCTGTAGAACTCTCCTCTAACACTCACATTTTGAAAGAATCAATTTCTCCCCCCCCACCACCTTATTTTACTGTCCAGCTTACACATTTGGAAGTCAGAAATATAGTATGAGTGATTTTGGCCTTGGTTCAGAGTGGTGCAGTCTTATTGTCCAAGATTTTTCTAGTTCCTTCATAGCTCCTTTTCCAAGTCTTCTGATTTCATGGCTGCATTCTCTACCTCGTGGGTGAGCAATTAATTTCTATAGGTGGCCACATGAAAAATTTGAACTGTGTTTGGGGGCCGAATCAACTTTACTTAAAAATAAAATGAAACAGTGATGTTATGATTGTTTTTATTTTAAACTTGTTAATCTTCACAAATACAGTGGTGTCCTGCATGATGGCGATAATCCGTTCCAGCAAAATCACTGTAAAGCAAAATCATCATCATGCGAAAGTAAAAAACCCATTGGAATGCATTAAAAACCGGTTAATGTATTCCAGTGGGGGAAATACCTGCTTGTTTTGCGAAGATCCTCCATTCAGTGAGAGAAATCCAGTCTGTCTTAGGCTTGAAAAGTGCTTGAACGCCGGACTGGAGCGATGACCAGCATGCCGGACAGGAGTGGCTTGCGGGCCGTATGTGCCCTTGGGCCGCACTTTGCCCAGGTCTGCTTTACCTGGACTGGTGACTGAACTAAGGTGTAAAAAAATCCTTAACACTTGATTTTTCCATTGTTGGGATTAAAGTTATGTACTTCTTCTGCAGTTTTTATTTTTGTCTTCTTAATGTTTAACTAAATCTGTTTTGTAATAACTTTTTTGTAAAGCATATTTTTCTCTTCTCATTAAACTGAGTATTGTGATCATTCACAATATATTTGCACAGGTCAGCCGTAATCCCTCTCATGGCCTCCTGGAAACCGATCGGATCCAGTAGTCTTCGAGGGCGGACCATGGAAATAGGCCCCTGCTCCCTGCGGGGGGAGAGAGCCACTGTGAGGTTAGATTTTATCAGGTGGTGATCTTTTTTGTAAAGCATATTTTTCTCTTCTCATTAAACTGAGTATTGTTATCATTCACAATATATTTGCAGATTAAAACTGAAGTGAACAAGCTGTACAAGTTGTTGGAAATCGATATTGATGGAATCTTTAAGTCTCTTTTACTGTTAAAAAAGAAGAAATATGCTGCTTTGGTTGTAGAGCCCACAGGAGATGGAAAATACATTACCAAGCAAGAACTTAAAGGACTCGACATAGTACGAAGAGATTGGTGTGATCTTGCAAAAGAGACAGGAAAGTAAGTTATCTTCTCTGAGTTGAGGTCTTCTTGCATGATTGTTTACTAGATTAATTTTTTATTTACCTAGTGTTGTTAACACTGAAGACGTTTCCTCCTGATGACTATGATCCTAAATGCATGATAGGTATGGGATTTTTGGAAGGCCTTGAGGTCTAGCAAGGCCTAGCTTTGCCCAAATTTCCTGTTCCTGTTCCAGGAAGCTAGGGGAAGCTAGGCCTCAAAGCATTCTAGCTTAGCCCTTCCTCTCAGATGAGCCACATTTAGGTGTCTGTCTCTCTGATAGAACTCCCAGAATGGAGAATTATGGGATTTACAGCCCAAGAAATCCAAAAGTTGGTTGTGTCGTTTTAAATGTTTATGTTACATGCTGGCTTCCTCTTGGGACTGGGTCCAAAAGTGGCTTATAGTATTCTTTAAAATACCCAGTTAGAATGAATGAATTATAAATAATTATTAAAAATAATTAAACCCATTATCACAATATAATTGGCAGTGGTTCCCAAGTCTGGTATACCAGATGCTTGTGAACTACCGTTCCAAGAAGACCTGACATAGCACTTTTTGGAGTTCTAGTCCAAAAACATCTGACCTCCAAATATGAGAATATTCTTATAGAGGTGATCTTTTATTGGGTGTATGCGATTTCCCCTTTAAGGAGAGGGATATTCACATGCGTCTGTCCTCTGCAGAGGGCAGAGGAAGAAGGAAAAGTGTAAAATGACCAAAAACATCATAATTATATCTTTTAAAATGTTGTTTTAGGACATTGAATTTATTGGGGTGCTTTGTCCCATTGTATAAAAAAAGTAAGAAATTTAATGTTACAATTTTTAAATGATCCAATTAATCCCAAGCTCTGGTCTCAGAGCCATGTTGAAGAGATAGACACACTATCATTTGTGAGAGGCCTAGAGAGGAAAATGACTGTTGTTTCACGTGCTTAAATCTTATTTACAGCTATATAATTAGCCAGATTCTTTCTGACCAGTCCCGAGATGTAATTGTGGAAAACATCCAGAGGAGATTAATGGAAATTGGAGAAAATGTGATAAATGGCACTGTTCCTGTAAAAAAATTTGAAATCAATAAGGTAAATAATGTTACTTTTACTGTTCTATTCCAATCTGTCAGCATATTCTGAGGGATGTTTTACTGGCATCCATTTCTTGCTTATCTTCTTTCAGAAGGTGCACAATGTTTAGAAAGTTTATGCAAACATTTAGAATTCTGACATGAACACAGGAAGGAAAAATTTGTGTCCATGTGTTTATTCAGTGGCAGAGGAGGACAGAATTTTCCAGTTTACATAGAACTCTTCAGTTTGCATAATTGATTTATGCCATTGCAGAAGTAGAATGTAGGCTCACCTGTTGAAACTGAATGATGGGAAATACAAAGCATACAAAAAAATTACTACAAGTGATTCTTAAACTGGAATTTGCTTCCTGAAGATGTGGAGATGGCCACTGTTTCAGAAACTTTAAAAGGAGTCTCAAGGAACTGATGAAGGATGGAGCTGTCCGAGGTTGCTGGTTATGATGGCTACATACTGCTTGTAAGATCAGAGGCAGTATGCTCTGAATACCAGTTTCTGAGGGCTGTTGCCCTCATGTCCTGTCATGGCTTCTTACAGGTATCTGTAAGAGATGTCAGTTGCCTGGTCTGATCCAGTAAGGCTGCTCTTATATTAGCATTTTATCCCTTGGCATCAATCTGTATCTCTGCCTTCAGTACATAGGGTTGGTTGCAGAGAGTGGCAGCCCAGAAGGTAGTGTTCATGTAAAGCAGATTTACCATTTTACAAATCAGTTTATGGAGAGCCATAAATTAACAGGCCAGTATTTATGTTGTTTCAAGTGCCTAGTAAGTTATATGGCATGTTAACTTCAGTGTCTTCTTACCTAATCTGTAGGCATTGACAAAGGATCCTCAAGATTATCCAGATAAAAAAAACCTTCCTCATGTGCATGTAGCTCTGTGGATAAATTCTCAAGAAGGTAGAAAACTGAAGGCTGGAGATACTGTGTCATATGTTATCTGTCAGGTAAAAAAACCTAGCAATGCTGTCTGTTTTTCCCACCAAATTCAAAACTAGAGCTGAATTAATTGTAATGAAATATATAGTTTATTGGTACAGTAACTGCAGATGGATTTTATGTATTTACTTTTTATTAGATGAATAAATATGCTTCTCCTACCCAACACACTGTGTTCACCTGTCTTCTTTGTCTCCTCTCTGTTTAGGATGGATCAAATCTAAGTGCCAGCCAGAGAGCATATGCTCCAGAACAGTTGAAGAAACAAGCAAATCTTACTATTGATACTCAGTACTATTTGTCACAACAGATTCATCCAGTCGTTGCTCGTATTTGTGAACCCATAGATGGAATTGATTCTGTCCTCATTGCAGCATGGCTTGGTGGGTATTGTAGACTGGAATTTATTTTCCAGTTGGTTATTAGAAACCGGTGTTTTTTAAACAGGTGAGCAGACTCTGGATTTGTCTTAGTATCCAGAACTGCTGGACAGCTAAGCAGTTTAGGCATCTGGCTGCAGAGCCAGAAGTTGGGAGTTTGATTCCCTGCTGTGCCTCCTTTACAGGGGCTGGACTCGATGATCCATAGGGTCCCTTCCAGCTCTGCAGTTCTAAGATGGTGATCTTTTCAAGAATGCCATTACTAGAGGCATTAAAAATGTGGCTGAAGAAAAAAGTCTAAAGTACGGTAATGTACTGGTACACAGCAATTGCAGCCCAACTGGTCAGGCATGTAGGAGATGCTGGAGTGATTGTAAGTAGTTCTGGAAAAAAACATTAATATTTATGTTTTGAGACACCAAGTGGCTTTCCCCCCCATCATCTTAGGCAACAGGAGAATCCTAGTTATATATTTATTTAAAATATTTTTACCTCACCTTTCTCCTTAAAAAGATGTTTCCAAGATGTATTACCAGAACTGGCCATTAGAGGGAACAAGCATAGGCATCCTTCAGTCTTGAGAGACTATGGTAACATGCTCTGAATCGAGGAGTGTCCTCTCCAGAGCATGAAGCCTGGGTAAGGTAATATGGAGGATAGGCTGTTACCCAAGCAGCAGATCCCCCCTCTCCACATTGCTGAAATGGTCCAATGGAAAGGCAAGAGCCAATACAACTGGTTCCAGCAATGTCGCAGTTGTTGGCAGAACGACACATGCTGCCTTCGGGACTCCAGCTCCGGATTTTGCCTCGAGGTTAACTCCTGAAGCCTTTTCCATGAGTGGATATAGCCACAAGGCAGTGGAGGTTTGAAATTGGAGTTTTCCTTCTCCTAGATGGGCTGCCTTCCATGGCTGACGAGCCCCACCTACCCGGCTATTATTATTACTATCATCACTATTATTATTACTATTATTATTACTGGTTGTTGTGATTAGATCCCGGCCGTGAAAGCCTTCGCGAATACATTATTATTACTACTACTAAAATTGCATGGAATCCTTCCAATATAATATAGGGAACAAGAGACTATGTTTTATATAGGGTTTCCTTTTCCTTGCTTTTTGGCATCTGCAGGGGGAGGCTTGGAACCAATCTGCTGCTGATGCTGCAGTCCTACTGTATACACATATTTCAGAAGAACTAAACAAATATATTAAAATGGTAAATAAAATCCATACTAAAAACACATTTAAAAGCAACAAGGCACAACAATGTGTCAATGTACTCTCTTTGGGCCTAACTGGGTTTAGTCCATTGTTAGAAGTCACAATAATTAATCATTCAAGCTAAGTTTGTTTGGTAGCATTCAACATTTCTGGAGTAGCAAGTCTACTTTTAAGGATCCTTTTAAGGATCGATTTCTGTAAACAAAGCATGAGAGGGTATTTTACATCTCAGAAGGCAGAATCAGAATTCAGGATTACAAATCTGAAGCTCTGTGAGCAACTGGGGCCAAACAAGTAAATTTGTTTGTTTGAACAAACAAAACGAAATAAATTGCGACAGGAATAAAGTTAGCAATCTATTTCAGGCAGGAAAAATTATATGCATATATTTATTTATTTATTTATTTATTGTTTTTATACCCCGCCTATCTAGTCATTTCGACCACTCTAGGCGGCTAGAATGACAACTAGCTTGTCAGTACATACAGGAAGGATCCAGGGATCTTAGTAGGTTGCATCAACATAAATATAGTGTCAGGTTGGTCTGACCATCAGACCTCAACTCTAGGCACATCAGTTTAAAAAGGGCAGTGAGAACCTTGAACATGTCCAGAGGAGGATGACCGTGATGTTCAAGTGTATAGAAGCCAAGCCCAAGGAAAAGCAGTTGAGTACATTTAGCCTGCAGAAAATAATACAGTGGTGCCTCGCTTAGCGAGCGCACCGTAGAACGACGAATCCGCATAGCGAGGACGTTTTCGCGATCGCTAATGCGATTGCAAAGCGATGGCCTCTATGGCTGAAAATCACATAGCGAAGGTCGGTAAGCGGTTTGCTTACCGACCTTCACTTTGCGACCCGCGGATCAGCTGTTCGGCGGCTCCAAAATGGCCGCTGGAAGCCCTGAAATAGCCGCGCGCAGCATTTTCGCGCCCTCGCTAAGCGAGGGGAAGGCGCGAAAATGGCTGCCGGCCATAGGGAAGCATCGCTCAACGGTGAGTTTCGGGGCCCATTGGAACGGATTAAACCAAGTTTAATGCGTTTCAATGGGTTCTTCCGTTTCGTTGAGCGATGTTTCCCATAGCGAGGGTTAATCCGGAACGGATTAACCTCGCTATGCGGGACACCACTGTACTGAATTGAGAGGCGATACAATAAGTATTGTTTAATATCTGAAGGCCTGTAACAGACAAAATGGAGGAAGCCTCTTCTTTGCTTCTCTGGAGGGTAAGACCCAAACCAGTGTGTTCAATTTTTTTTTTAAAAAGTTGAGTAAATATTAAAAGGGTGTCCTCAAAACTAAGAGCTCTTTGACAGTGGAATGATTTGCCTCAGAAGGTGGTGGACTGAAAGTTTTTTTTTAACAGAGATTGGTGGCCATTTGGCAAGGATTCTTTACCTGTGGATTCCTGCATCGGCGGGGAATTGCAGTAGATGATGTTTATGTTCCCTTCCAACTCTGCAGTCCTAGGAGGTTCTAAAATTTATAGTTTATTTTTTTATAGAGAGGTGTATAGATAGAATAACTCCTTGTATGAAGTCTCCCATGGAGGAAATCTGTAAAGTTTTTCTAAATGTGATTGTACTTGCTGTGTTGTTCTTCTCATATTACAGTATGGGAGTAGGGAAGAAAAGACAAAATTCTGCTTACTGCTTAAGTCAGATGTTGTTAGAACTGACCAAAACATCCTTAAAATAATTTTCATGTGTTCTTTGTATATTCCCATCATTAAGACAGTGATGTAACACAAACTCAATTAAGAGCTTAACTCAGCATGACTAGAGGTGAATCAGTGGGACTTGTTGAATTAGTACTTAGATATTTCCATTGATTGAGTTGATGTATCTCTTTGGGACTAATTGGGTTTAGCTCATTGTTACAAGGTCTCCCTTACCAAACCCAATTAATTATAATTTTTTTTTAAAAAGGGACTTTAGCTCAAGGATAAATGACTCCAAATGTGTGTGTGTGTGTACCGTATTTTTCTGTGTATAAAATGACACTTTTTCATAAAATAAAGGAAAAATTGAGGGTCATTTTATACTTGGAAGTAAGGAGGGGGGAAGGGGGTCAAAGTGCTTTGATCCCTGTTTCCCCCTCCAGGTTTTGCAAAGAAAATGCAGGGGGAAAGTGATTTCTACTTTCCCCATACATTTTTGTTGCAAAAAGCAGCTTTCCGTCCACGTTTTGCAAAGATAATGCAGGGCATCATGGCCCCCGCAAGCGTGACACGCACGGGGCCCCCACCCTCCCGCACATGGAGCTCACTCCCCCAGCCAGTCCGCAGCCCCAAAAAAGTTGGGGACCGCTGATCTAAAGGAAAGCCTGCCTGAAGAGAAAGGTCTTTGTCTACTTGTGGGAGGATAGCAAAGATGGTGCTAGCCTGGCCTTCCATGGGCGGTGCCTTCAGAGTTTGAGAGCAGTGGCAGACAAGGCCCTCTCCTCTGTCTGCCCCAAATGTGCCTATGTGGGTGGCGGGAGCAAGAGAAAGGCCTCTCCTGATAATCTTAATACCCATGTAGGCTGATAAAGAGAAATACGATATTTTAGATGGCTTGACCCCAAGCTGTTTAGGGCTTTATTGGTTAAAATGGCACTTTGAATTGTTCCAAAAAAATGGATCAGCATCTAGTGGAGCTGCTGAAACAGGGTGGTTATGTGATCCCTGTGGTCAGCCCTAATCAGCAATATTTTGGACTTGCTGGGTATTCTGAACATTTTCCAAAGGCAGCCCCACATAGAGTGAGTTCCAGTAATCCAGCTAAAATGTAACTAAGGACTGTGTCATCATGGCCAGATCAGACCTCTCAAGGACGGGAGAAAACTGGCACACTAGTTTTAACTGTGCAAAGGCTTTCTTGGCTGATGCTGAAACCTGGGCATCCAGGCTCAGAGATGAATCCAGGAGCTCCCCAAGGTATGTGCCTGTGTTTTCAGAGGGAGTGTAACCCCATCCAGCACAGACTGCAACCTTATTCCTTGATCTGGTTTTTGACTGACCAGGAGCACCTCTGTCTTGTCTGCATTACATTTCAGCTTATTCACCCTCATCCTGTTTATTATTGACACTAAACACTGATCTGGAACTGAAATAGCTTCCTCAGACTTAGTTGGAAAAAGAGTTGGATATAATCCTCATACTCATGACACTGAACCCCAAAACTCCATACAACCTCTCTCAGTGGTTTCTTGTAGACATTGAATAGCATAGGGAATAAAACAGAACCCTGAGGGACAGCCAGAGTGTCAAACAGGAATATCCTGTTCCAGGATGGACTGGAGTCACTATAAAACAGTGCCTCCAAGTATCATACTAGAGAGATGGCCCATGATTGATGATACTGAAAGCTGTTGAGAGTTCCAGCAGACCCAACAGTCCCCATGTCCAGTTCCTGGACCATGGTCATCCACCAGGGCAGCCAGAGCAATATCTGTTCCATAACCATCCCTAAAGCCAAATTGAAACGGATCTAGATAATCTGTCTCTTTCAGGAACTCCTGAAGCTGAGAAGCTACAACCCATTCTAGCACTTTTACCAAGAATGGAGTTTAGCTCCCATCACCCATAGCAAGCATGGCTAATGATGAAGGATAACGGAGGTTGCTGTCCAGGAACATCTGGAGAGCCATACATTATCTACTTCTATTTAGCATTATCTATCCTTCCCATGAAAGAGTTCAGAAACTTTCACTTCCATTTTTATGAACCACAATTTGCTCTTTTGTCTCAACTTTGAAAATCTGTCCATATTTCAGTGAATAAAGAGCAACTTT